AGGACCTCGGTGTTCGGCGAAATATGGTAGGTCATTTGCGGGGGAATTTTTACTTTACAAATTACAGACATGGCCGATTCGCACGGGATTAAGATTACAGACAACCTCCGCAATTATTACAAATGATTGGAGGTCACCCCGTAATACTAATCCCCTGTGAATAGGGTTTTAGTAACACATACAGCTGTTCCCTCACCACAGTGCAACACCCCTTTCAAACAGTGTCGCGTTCCGAACGTTGATTAAGTGACATATACCGGTATTGCGGTATTTTCAAAATTCTTATCGTAACAAAAATAAAAACCGGTATTTGGTATGAACCGGTATACCGCCCAGCACTACCTCAAAGTGACCTTCTTTACCCCTAAAAGGTTCGTTATAATACCTTAATGATACATAGTACAACTCTAAGGTGCTAGAGTGCACCCTTTACGGTTAAAGATTGTACAAAGTTGTCACTTTGAGGGTACTGCCCCAGTGGCAAGCTGTTGTACCCCTGAAGGTCCATTTTTTTTCTGACAGTGTTTATATACTATGAGTTTGGACATACTGCTCTTTTCACATTCTGTTTTTCACCTGCTATAGATAAGGGAAGTAAGAATATTCGGATCAAAGGTTGATGTTATTTTTCAGGAAAGTATCTAAAAAAATAACTTTTTAACTTGTTCAGCAAAATTCTGTATAAACTTTTGCTCCGGCATGACAGTAGTTGACCTAAAGAGAAAAGTGAGCGAAGATGGCAATTTTCGCTAATGTGCACTATAGCGCCCCCTGTGGCGACACCAAGAATGCAACTCCCTTTGAAATCAAGCTTGCATAGAAGTATTGATGTACTTGCCTATAGTATGTTTCAGGCCAGAGAGAGGGTGTAAGAAGAGATCTGTAAGTGTGCTGTTCTGGGAGAAGGATTTTGTAATCACAAAGCAGGGATTTAATTTTTAAGAACCCCACACATAACGGTGTGGCAAAGTGGTGTTTGTGTGAGCAAGAGAGTGAGTGTGTTTCTTTCACAGTCGTCTCTGTGGTATCCTGTTTCAAGCTTGCCACTCATAATGAAGGGAATCCTTAGTGAGGCATAACTTCTCTGGAAGCAAGCCTTATAAAGCTGTCTGCTTGTTAGCAGTGCAACAGAGAGAGAGAGACAGGGAATAGAACAAGCAAGTCACAAACAGATCTCTATGGAGAAAAGTCAGCTGCTCATAGCCTGCGTTTGGAATTTTCTAACACGGGCACTTTGGAATTTGGTGAGCCCAACTTTCTTTCTTTCTGCATTTCTTTCTGAATTTCTTTCTTTCTTTATGCAGTTGTTTCATTCTGCATTTCTTTCCCCCCCCTTTCCAGTCAGAAAACAAAAACAGATCTGTTTCAGGCACTGGACAGTAGTGGAGTGGGCGGTTTTATGTTATCTGGTCTAGATACGGCTCCACAGTCCGCCTGTAACTCTCTCACTCTCTCTTCTGTTCTCTTGACAGAGAGCTCCTCGCACGGTCAGGATATAAGCGCTGCCGTTCCTGAGCAGTTCACTGGTCTGCTTCACGGTTCCTCGCCGGTGGTCGACTGTCGGGAGGAAGCATTCACACTGCCGTCCTCTGGAGTGAAGTCCGGCGAGGCTTCCAGCACTTCGACATCTGCGAGCTCCGTCCCCCTTCCCCATCCCAAATCGACAGTCACCATGGAAACCATTCTCCAGGACACTGACCCCAAAGCTATCTACGCCACGGTCCACAAAGAGCCACGGGGTTCGCCAAAACACAACTTACCGGCGCGCGATTCTCCGGTGACGAGAAGGATGCCTCCGCCGGGTGATCTCAAGCTAGCGCGTAGCCTTTCGAAGTCCGACTCCGACCTGCTGGTGTCCCCACCCGGTGAGGAAGAGACGGGGTTGGGCGGCCGAAGTGAGTCAGTGTCCAACTGTAGCACCACCAAGAGAAGACTGGAAAAATCACCTTCATTCACTTCAGAATGGGACGAGGTAAGAGCTCCCCCTTGTGGCCTGGATGTACCATCCTTCCTGCATTGTACACAACACACAAATGAATAGGAATAAATCGGAATTTCGAGCACTATAAATTTTGGCTGGAAATTCCATTGATGGCTGAAAGAGAAAATGAGCGGAAAATGCTAAACAATTGAATTGTGTCTTTTGTTATGTATTCTTTAGCACTTAGTTGTTATTTATAAAGATCATAGTTTTAGGAACATCTTTTTTTTATTTTGGGAAAATAGGTTGGTTGATGTTAGTATTGCATTTGAGGAATTTTTAGGTTCACAGCTGTTATTAAAATAATCAGTGCTTGAAAAATTATTTCAGCCTAGATTATAAAATATTATACAATATTCTAGAAGTTGTTTCAGTTTTAGATCACATTTAAAAATATGAAATGAGAAACAAATGACAGGTTTTTTTGGGGTGCATTACTGAAAGTAGATCTTTAATTTAACTGCAAGTGATCAAAACCGATGTAATTCACAGAATCTGTTAGTAAAATCACAGATAATTGTTAGTAGCTGGAGTCCATTGGGAAAATGTATGAGATACAGGGAATGAATGGTAAATGGTGACCTTTCAGTCTGTCATTTCTCATTTTGCAGTGATCATGCAAAAACGGCTTCATACAAGCATTCTCTTTTTCAGTTTAAGATCTGATAGTTTTTCTGGAATTTGAAAGAGGAGTTCTTTCCATGGACCAGAGAATTGTCCATTTCTGAGGGTGTTAAAGGAATGCTCTGGCTTCAGGACGTCTTTGTTTTTTACATTATTTCCAGTCTTTCAGCATTGTTGGGACAACGTTATGTTATTAACGCCTGTAAACCAGGCAAATTTCACACATTGTCCAAGCATGGATGCTTCCGAGAAAGGGGCTGTTGTAAATTCTTTGTTTACATGGAGCTGAGCAGGTAGTCTGCCAGACTATTGCCTTGAATCAGCAGAAGAACATAAACTTGTCTCCTTCCCGTTGTCTGCATATGTTCATAATGTCAGATGATGAAAAACGGCCAGAAACAGTCTAAACAAAAGCCATCTGCTATGTCTGTACCACTAGGTGCATGACAAGCCTCATATGCTTAGAACAGTAGTCCCACCACAAAAATGATAGTTTGGTTAATAGCACACTTTTTTTTTTTTTTTTTACAGAAGTATTAATGTAAGTGTTTTAATAAAATTATGAGCTTCACATTTCTGGCTTTAAGTAAACCTTCTAAGTTTTTAATCCTAATTGCAATTTATGTTGTTGATTAAACTTAACTCGGCATGGAACATTCCTTTAAAGATTACATGTGGTTATTTCTTTGAGAAGAATGTGAAAAGAAAGTCTGTAATCCAATCAGAATTAAGCTTCCTATATTACCTTAGCTCTGTCTTCAATCTGAAGATCTAGACATTGGATACAAACACGGAGGAACTCGTGCAGAGTTTCCATCACACTCGGTCTTACACTCTTACAGGCGAGACGGCCGCAGGTAATGAAGACCGTTGTCTAACACACTTAAGTACACAGAGGAATAGCCGAGAAGCATCAGAGGCTGTGTTTGTTTTTGTCTCGAGGCCTGTTAGATATGTTTGACTCTTTTCTAACACACAAAATAGACCTAACATGAAAAGTGGCTAGCTGAAACCCAATAAATGTCTGTATGTGGCATAATCTGTTGAAGTTATTCCATTAAATTGATATTCGATTGATATTGATAGGGTGAATTTCCATTTCATGCCAGCTTTTGGCACCTTCTTTCTCTAACCATTTGTTGAAAAGGAAACAAATAATTTCTAGTGTGTAACATAAATCTAGGGTAGAGTTGTTTTATACCTTTAAACTGTTTTTGGATTGGCAAAAACTGTGGGTTTATTAAAGATCAATGCTGTATCCAAGTGTTTCCCTTTTTCATGACCTTATCACCATGCGGATAACTTTACTCAGTGGGTCAGGAGACATGTCCTCTAACAATAACAGTTTAGTCTGGAAATAGTGTGTTGTAGCAACACCTGTGGTTTTTCTGCTTTCTGTTTGGAGACATTCGATGTGAAATGACGCGAGGTCAGGGAGCAGAGAAAGCTCACCTGCTGATAACATGTTTGTTTTCTTCATTTGTTGACCTGCTCTTTGTCTGTTGACTGTTTTTCCGATCATCTTCTCTTCTGCTCTCGTTCGGTCTCTCACGCTGTTCAGCATGTTTCTGTTGCTCATGAGCCAAACATTTGAGATTTGTGTGGAATTTTTCCAGTGTGAAGAGTTGCTATAAAACACACAGTCTCTTTTTCTTTCTTATTCTGTGTCCATGTTTGTTACTCTCTCCTGCCCTCTGCTGGAAAGATCTATATCTATCTATCTATCTATCTATCTATCTGTCTATCTGTCTGTCTGTCTATATCTATATGTATCTATCTATCTATCTATATCTATCTATCTATCTATCTATATGTCTGTCTGTCTGTCTGTCTGTCTATTTCTATATTTCTGTCTGTCTCTATCTATATCTATCTATCTATCTGTCTATCTGTCTATCTATCTGTCTGTCTGTCTGTCTGTCTGTCTATATGCCTGTCTGTCTGTCTATTTCTATATGTCTGTCTGTCTCTATCTATCTGTCTGTCTATCTATCTATCTATCTGTCTATCTGTCTGTCTGTCTGTCTGTCTGTCTCTATCTATCTATCTATCTATCTATCTATCTATCTATCTATCTATATGCCTGTCTGTCTGTCTATATCTATATGTCTCTATCTATCTGTCTATCTGTCTGTCTGTGTCTGTCTGTCTGTCTGTCTGTCTCTATCTATCTATCTATCTATATGTCTGTCTGTCTATATCTATATGTCTCTATCTATCTGTCTGTCTGTCTGTCTGTCTGTATCTATATGTCTCTGTCTGTCTGTCTGTCTGTCTCTATCTATCTATCTATCTATCTATCTATCTATCTATCTATCTATCTATCTATCTATCTGTCTATCTATCTGTCTCTCTGTCTCTCTGTCTGTCTGTCTCTATCTATATATCTATCTATCTCTGTCTGTCTGTGTGTCTGTCTGTCTGTCTGTCTGTCTGTCTGTCTGTTTGTCTGTCTGATCGATCAACATATCTTTTCAGCATATTATTAAGAAACGGGATCTTCTAAAGAAACCGAAGTAGTGGTTCTTGAAGTTGAAGGTCCTGCAGCTTGTGAGAGCCTCAGGATGAGTCTGGTGTGTGCGAGCCAGACAGCCTCAGAGGTTCATGTGCAGAGCTGTTTGTTTGCCGCTTCAGTGAGTTGCAGCAGCGAACTTAGAGCCCAGAGCAAATCATGACGCTTGATTCGCTTTGCTCCCATTGGATTTGTGCTCTTAATGAGCACGCTTTTATTGACGAGCCTCAGTGATTGCTTGATTTATGGCATATGATGGAATCAACTGATGGAGTCATCATGAAATCAAAATTCACTTTCTTAATACATTGGGCATCCAAAGTCCACATTGAAAATATTGGATTCAAAGTTAAATTTAAACCTGAAAACAAATAATGCTGTGTAACATTATCATATGCATATGAATGAACATGATATGAAATTTAACTTTTTCTTAACTTTTTTTTTTTTTTATTAATTAATTAATTTATTTATTTATTTTGTAAAATTGAAATTCAAACTCAAAACTTTTTTTTAAGGAAAATCACAAATTGTTTCTTCCATGTGTTAATATTAACAGTAAACCTCTGATGTGCATCACCTTGTTTGCTCAAAATTATGAAGAATTTTTCATTTTAAGTTTCAATAAATTGATAGTGTTCATTTCATTACCGCTGTTTTTTTGATAATACATTTGTATTAAATCATAAATCCAAAAAAAATTAAAACACACAACACAGAATTTCTGTAAAAATTAAACATTTACATAGAACCCTATTATTGCAAAACTGTTGTAAAAATAAATTATCAAATTGATAAAGATCAATTGATTAGATTTGATTTTTGATTATTAAAATTTAATTAAACTATTAAAACAGAATCCAGAAAAATTAAAACGGGAAAAAAAAAATATTAAATCTTGGAAAAAATAAAACTGGTTCCATAGAGCCCTAAAATGTAATTTTTGTTAAACTTTTAATAAATAGTTGTTAAATTGTGCGAGTTTTATAATTTTAATTAATTAGACATGCTTTTTACAAAAAAATACAAAAATGTCATTTAATCTTTATTATGTAATCTAGAAAAAATAAAACACAAAAAAACTGAATCCAGAAAATTAAAATAGAAAAAAACAACAACAAAAAAACGGAATTTAAGAAAAAAATGATGGTGCATATATATAATTATTATTTTATTTTTTTTTTTTACCAGCTACCAAAAGTATATAATTTAAGCGTTTATATCTAATTTAATTCTCTATGTATTTGCATAGATTTAAATATATATAAGTTTTACTTTCTAGGAGAAAAGCACATTTTTCATGATCCAAACTATTCATGAAAATGATGGGTAAAAACAAATCTCACTCTACTTTAAAAATGTGTCATTGAATTTCTTATTTCACTCAGAAATACGTCAAATATCAGAAGTAAAATGATTGCAAATATGTTTCATGTTGACTTTAAACATCATGACAAGCATCTTCTCTGCCTTCTGTCTGTCACAGCAGAGTTTCTCTCCATATGTTGTCTCTGTGTTTGGACAGTCAGTCCTGCAGTCCCTAATGTCCAAACAGCAGTCTGTCATCATTTCTCTTGTCTGTTTTCTGTCTGTTTCTCTCTTTCTCCTCCCCTAGCGGTCACGGCTGGCTGGTCCGGGACACTTCACTGCCCTGAGTGACAGCGTGTGGGTGCAGGAACGCACAACACCCATCACTTTCACTCTGTGTGTGTGTGTGTGTGTGTGTGTGTGTGTGTGTGTGTGTGTGTGTGTGTTCCTCCTCTTCGCACACTCACAATCTCACACCAAGTCTAATTTTTCATACAAAGGAGATTTTGACTTGCATGAGGGTCTATGTGTGGCAGGGGGTTTGGAA